AACCCAAGGAATGAGGGTGTTTCCTACTATGACTCACCTGTTTGGGTGAGCATGGAGTGCGAGGAGGGAATGAGAGGAGCCCAAAAGAAAAGCCTCACTTTTATCCTTATCAGAGCTTTATCCTTATCATCTAGAACTTTCCTGTTCCAGAAGTGATGGATGGGCGGCACCAGGAAGGAAAGAGAGGCAGGGCTGATAGCAGACTGGATGTGAGGGGTGGCCTTCAGTCAATCACTGACTGAAGGAGTCTGTGTTTTGGGGGGCACTGAGGGTCTCAAAGAGGTAGACACACAGGCAGCACAGGGTGGGCAAGTGAGCAGCTCTGACCAGGCGGTGGCTGTTGCCATTTCTTTACATCTGAAGTAGAGAACTGATCTGTGGTTCTTTCCAATTCTAGAGACATCCACTGCTCTCTCATTACATAGCTATTTCAGCCTCCTCCTCCTCCTTGACGTCACTTCATTTTCCATCTACTGTCTCCTTACGGTCACAGCAGTTAATCCCTTCTCTCTTACTCATGTAACTTTTTCTTTTATTGCTCTCTTCTCCCTGGAAACATAGGCCAGAATTGGAAACGGTCCCCTATAAAGGAAAAAACTCTATAAAACTAATTTAAAAAAAAATTTGTGTGTGTTCATTTTTGACCAAAGACATATTTTTTGTGTCTCATTTTTAACTCTGGATTATGAGTTGAAGGGGGCCAAGGGTTCTGTCAGACTTTTTGAGGTGTTTTATAATGAAAGCATCAGGCTTCCCTCCAGATCACAGTTTGATTGATGGAGATGATCGTCCCAGCAGCCACCATTTATTTTTCCAGGGCTAGGTGCTGTGTTAACTGATTTACATTCATTTTCACTGAATCCTCCTGATGACCCTGTCAGTTACATATGCCTATCACCATTGGACAGATGAGGAAATTAAGACTCAGGGGTTAAGTAACTTGTGTAGTTATCGCTGTGTTGGTTCCGAGTTGACAGGCATTGAGCACTTAGAACACGCCCGGCTCTGTACCAGGGCTTCACATTGAGTCCTCAGGAAAACATCACGAAGTAAGTATTCTTATCCTCACCTTCCAGGCCAGAAAGCAGTCTCAGAGAGGTTAAATAAGGTCCAAATATCACACACTACTAGAAAGCAGTGGAAGTAAGCTGTCACCTTAGGCAGTGAGACTGCTAGTCTTTGCTCTCTGACAGCTGGCTGCATTTAGTTATTAAAATACCAAAAGAAACTCTATGCAGTTTGTTTTTATCCCTGAAGAGATCCCAGGGAAGGACCCTTAAGACAGCATTATATCAGGGATTCAGTGTACGCCCTCACTGTCTACGGAAGACAGCGGTAGCAGGAGAAGGCTGGGAGGATGAGTCGGTTAATGTGCAAAGGGAAGGGCAGAA